GTAAACCGTTGTGAGGGATGTACTCTTAATTTCCTGCATGGGCTTAGTGGAATAGAGAAGTTTTCAGCAGGCATTTAAAAGTTGGCCCAAGAGGCGCCCGTTGAATCTTCATTCTCTTCTCTTGCACTCTGCCACCGCTCCTTCCCTATACTGCCTTGGTTTGCCTTGACTTGTTGCTAATATCACCTCCTGTAGAACCCCAGGAAAAGGGAGATAGAGAAGGCTGGAAGCAGCTGGCCCTTATCAGACTGCTTGGCCTATATCATTACAAAAGATGCATCTCCAAGGCCCCTTTAGGGAGCAACAAGGGCATGGGTGCTGTTCTCTGAGATTTTGGAGGGATTGGGTCTCTCTTGAGAGAGGTTCATCTGTAACCAGGGTGTGTATGTGTGTTCCAACTCAGCCTTCAGGGTCCATGTGGGATAGGCTGGATATGGGAAGGATGGAACTGATGGTCAGACCACTATATCGTAAAATTGGGGCTCCCAATGGAGCCTCCCCCCTCCCTGCTCCATAGGGATGCTGTGGATGCTTGAATGCAAACGAAACCTACCATTCATCTATTTGGATTTCAATTTCTTCCTCTATTAGCTTGTAAGCTCTGGCAGTAGTAGATTATTTCTTTCAACCAACTTGATTTGCACTTCAGTTCTTTTTCCAGCAAAGGCTTCATGGCTCGCTTTTGAGCAAAATGTTGGCACAATCTCAAAACACCTCAGGAATAACTTCTGCTGATGGGTAAATTATGAGGTCCTTGAGGCTTTCGTTCTCCCTGTTCTTTTAGTATGGTGGTAATAACACAGTAATGGAAAGGCATCCAGCCCCATGCACTATTGATGAACTGTCAGCAAAATGGAATTCTGAAAGGTTCTGAGAAACGGCACGGAGCTTTTGCTTTCAGAAATGGATGTGCTCGCCTGTTAGACGTTTCTAGTTTGGTAATGAAATCCAAGGCTGAATTAAAAGCCGCTCTGCTGCCGGAGGGGCCTCCTTGGTAACATTTACCAGTTACCTTGACTAAACTGGTTTTGTCCTGTGTGGTGGATGATCGGTTGTGTCCATCAGGAAGGGCAGTGCAGAAGGCAGAGAAGCCAACAGTAGATGGAGCCAGAGCTAATGACAGGCAGAGCCAACCAATTCTAGTTTTGCCCCATCTTCCTCCCTGCTGAGTTCCACAAGGGCAATACTGAGATGAAGGAAGCTGACAGGCAGGGCCACAACCTAGAATGGATGTAAGGCAGGTGGGTGGTGGGCTGGCTGAGGGCAGACTGAAGTTAGTGCATCAATGCCCTGTTTGCCCTAATAGATCAGCCTTCCCTGATAGCACTATAGGAAACTGCCTGGTACTAAGTTAGAGCTCAAGTTCATGTAGCCCAATATTGTCTGCTCTGACTGGCAGCTGTAAAATGTTTTGGAACGTTGTTTGTCTGGTCACCTCTTAAGAAATCATAACCAAATTTTGTGTGGTGGTTCCAAGGAGCAGGATTTTGTCTACCTCTGGATACAATTGGACACCATTTTGAATCAAGGTGGCATACAAAACCTTTTAAACTGCCCTGATTTTAACCACAGATTTCAAAATTGCAGTGGTTTTTTGTTTTTTCTTAGAATTCCTGAGCACTGCTGGGTATGAGGCTGTTAATTCTGAGTAAACTTTAAGCCAGCCATTCCTTGTTTTTTTTTACTTTCATGATCCTGCAACATATTAGTTGGGTTTTTCTACTGTCATCTGAATATTTTGTTCCCTTCAGCTTTTAAATGATAATAAATTTTTGTTTAAAGTGACTCCACCCCATTAACAAATGCACTCCAAGCAACGGCGGTGATCTGTTTGTTTTAGTCTTACATAGTACTAGTGGAATGATACACGCATACTGAGGGAGAATATTCCCCTTGCGGTCTTTGTGTTTTATAAAACAAAGTGCAACAGTACAGCCCGTTTCCAGGCACTGACAATAGCAACATGATTTTGCTGGCTGTCCAGTTCCTCTTAATCCATCTGTTTTAAAGTTTGGTTTATATCATTGTGTTTTCTGCTGCATCAGCTAAAATACTTCTCATACTTCTGGACCGAAGATGGCTATTTTGTTACATGTCTTAAATTGTGTGGAATTTACGAGACTGAGAAATGAACGGTCAGTGGAAACCAGGGCTCCTAAACATGCTCCCCCCCCCCCAAGTTCATGCCAACTTTGGGGTACATTTGGTGGGTGGTTTCAAGGGCAGCAGTTCTTAGAAATACTAAGTCAACAAGGCTATAAGAAATGCCAGAGAGGATCAGACCTGTGAGTCTTAGTTTTTGTTCTGCTTTCTTTGCAGCCTGCAAAGAAGTGCTTTAAGGCAGCTTTCAAAAAAGGGGGCAGGGAATGGCTGCATTCAAATTCAGGCTTAATAAACCAGAATACTCAGGAGTACTGTAGCCCTTTTCCTCCTGTATCAGTCCTCCCTACATGTGCAAACAAGAAGACAAGTCAGGAAACCACCATAAACCATAGCTTTCCATTACATCTGAACCAGAAAACTAAGCTAGTGGCTCCTACAAAAGTTATAATATGAAACCACAGTTTCAAGTTGGCTTACAAATCCTGGCTTGTTTGAAAGCCATGAACTATAGTAATGGAAAACCACAGTTAAGGCTGGGTGAATTTGTAAATTTCATTTTTTTCCAATTTTAAATTCAGTTCTCCACATTTCCACATCAGTTTGGATTTATTTGTTTTCTTCATGTGAAAATTCATCCCCATTTTAGTGGGAATTTCACCTGAACATAATGCCTTTTTTGGCGTGTTATTTTCACCAATGTCTGCATATTTCTACACGTTACTTGGCTGGGGAAGTGCATTGCCAAATTTGGGGAAAGTGCATATTTCCAAGGATGGCTGTATTACAGTTTGTGTATTGTTTCAGAAAGATGTGAATTAGGTAAGTCCACCTTTAAATGGGAGCCGATTCAAATGTCTCGCTCATCTCTATGTAGTTAACTATGGCTTCCTGGTTCTCTGCGCCTCCCTCTACCCCATGGCAGGGGTGAAAGAGGTGCCATGCCACGGCACCCAGTTTGTGTACATGGTGCCCCATCCATTTCTTTACTCTTTATAACATGGGGTAGGTTTGGTTGCAAGGCAGTGCGTGGCATACAGTTCCTGCTATAAGTTTTGTGTCTCAGGAAGGATTTTGAACCTGGGCCTTCCTGGTGCTAGTTTGACGCACTGACTTAGGGATTGCCAACCTTTTTCGGGCCAATGAGCATTTTTGCAAAAGGCGGGGTGGGAAATGCCATGGGCATCACACACCCACAAACGCACCCACCCACCAACTGCACTATCACACATGACAACTGTAGGATGTTTCTTCCAAGCCCAAGGGAGGGCCTCTGTGGGTGCCTGCCTATCTGTGGGCACTATGTTGGCGATCTCTCCTCTCCTGCTCTAACCACTGCACTACATCTTGGCCTGCATAGTTTCAGTTAATAGGATCTGTGGCATTGAATGTTGCTGTCCAGCAACTCTTGATTTGGCAAGTCTGAGTGAATTCAGGAGTTCTGGTACACAGAGAGTTGCACAGAGGATAAAGCTAACAGGAAACTAATAAATGCAGTGAATAAATGTTCAAAAAATATATACGAATGGCTCTTCCAGGCATTCATGTCATTTTGGAGGTGACAATAGCTTGCCCCCTGTACCACTCACTGAATGTGTGAAGTTCCCTTCCTCTTCCTCTCCCCCCCACCCCCGCAATCCTACTTGACCTCCAGGTTTGAAGTAAAGGGGGAAATCCTATAATGCTGAAACTCTCACAGAGCTTTGGTTCCAAGTGTATTTTATTAAGCAGGGGAAATAGCTGGGGCTTCTCACATTTTGTTTTTTCTCTTTAAGGTTCTAGCTTTGAATCTCCTACTTTTATAGCAAATGGGTTCTCATAGATGGTACAAAAATAAAGTTCAAGTGCTATAAATCATAGGTATCAAAATATTAACCTGCGGCTCTGGGGTCATCTTTCTGGCCCCAACCATGTTCATTTTTGAAGTCAGTTTTAATTCCTCTGTGTTTGTGCGCCCCCCCCCCCCCCAGCACACACAGACACAGACTTATTTTCTGCCAATACCCTCTGGCCAGCATCAAAGCCCAGTGCACTCTCAAGTCCCTAGCGTTAAAATTATAAAATTGCCAATGTACGCTGCCTGAGGATAATCAGAGATTTCTCTGAAGGCTAAGCCTTCAGTTTTGACTACAGGCAAATGTAGAATGTTTGTGGCACCTCACCCTTTCCTTTTTGTCTTTGGGAATCATGAAAAGCAAATTCCATACAAATCGGCTTATTTCCTGTCATTGCTCATCTTCTGTGAAGACGCGCCAAACGTAGCTCATGACACTTCACCAACAATCCTCCTTCCATCTCTCTCCTAGCAATGGGAAATGTTTCTGATTTGGAGCACCTCCAGATGACCTATTTATTGAGCATCCATTGTGATTTGCTTGTGCAAAGCTTACACCGGGGTTAGACTATATCTGGTATTCACTGAGTACTCCTTCTGATTTTTGTGCAAAGCAAATGTATGACAATGAGCATTCAGCCTATATTCAGTTTGATTTGTTTGTGAGGTATTTATATGTCTTCCTGTTAATCATCTCGTTTATCCCACACTTTTCAGTGCATGTCCCTATCACTTCCAACTGCAAAAAGTCAATTTCTTTTTTAAAGTGGATTTGTTGCACCAGGGCGCCAGAGCTCTTTAACCCACTTTAATTGTGCCAGCCTAAATTTACAGTGTGCACTTGAATTCCTCGCTCAAAATAGTGGCAGTCCGAATGCACCATTGAACTTTACAAAAAACCACTACTTATTCTTCACTACCCACACAAGTTGTTCACAGTTATTGGGTTAGATTGAAAGATCCTGCTAGCAAAGTTTGTTTTCCACCCACAAAAGGGCTGCTTCAGGCTCCATTGCAGAAATGTTGTGTGAGCTAAGTGGGGCAGGAAACTGCCAGATGGTGTCCAGGGCCATAGCTCATTGGTAGAGCATCTGATTTTTCATGCAGAAGGTCCCAGGTTTAATCCCCAGCACCTCCAGATAAGGCCGGGAATTGTCCCCTGTCTGAAACCCTGGACAGCTGCTGCCTGTCCATGTAGACCAGGGGTAGGCAACCTAAGGGCCATAGGCCACAAGCGGCCCACGGGGGTTGTTTAACCGGCCCAGGAGCCACCCCCGAAATGAGCCGCCTGCTCAGCGAGTCCCCACGCACTGCACTAAACCAGCACAGCACAGCTCGCGGACTTGCTTCCACGGCTCCGGAAATCGCGTATGCGCATGCGCAGATGCCGGAAATCATGTCTGCGCAGACCCAGACATCGGAATTCATGGGCGCACGCGCTCACGTGCATGTGCAGTCTGGCCCACTGAGGGATCTCCTCTGGAGTGAACTGGCCCAGGCGAGGTAAACCTTGCCGACCCCTGATAGACTGAGCTAGGTGGACCAGTGATCTGACTCCATCTCAGACAGTTTCCTAAGTAATCCTAAATCCAGAGAACCTCCTCTATTTGTGCAAGGCTATGAAGAAGCTCCCACAAGAGCTTTTTAAAATTTATCACCTAAAGAAGTTATATGTGACAGCCTGGGGGTTTCCTTTCCTTATTAACTGTTACTCTCCAGGGTTTCTTGAGATGCCAGAGATTGAATTTGGGACCTTCAGCATGCAAAGCATGGACTGTACAACTGAGCTGTGGTTCCTCCTCAGATAGAACAAGAGGCGGGTCTGAATGTTAGCTTCCCCAAAGGCATCTGGCTAACCGCACTTGGAAATTAACACTGAACTCCATGGATCCTTTGATCCCATAGGGATTTTCTTAATCTGGTGTCCTTCTGGCAATATAACCAAAGATTGAACTGACCCTTGGGGACGGCCAGTTGAATAAACCCACTCCTGAACATTCTCGCTCCATCTCCTTGCAAAATGTCTAAAGATGGGGAAGGGCTGCAATATTGAGAAAATCTTTTGTGCTCAGGCTTTGCTTCTTTTTTTTTGGTGGGTTCTAAAACCAGGAGGGGTCCTGTATGAATCACATGAGTGTTCTGTCCTCCTACAACAGATTAATCTTCTATCAGAAAGTAAAGTTGTGCTTTTCTCTGTACGTTTCATTTGGCACGTGGAGTCATCCACTTACCCATCATCAGTCCAGCTGCTGCATGTTGCTTTACTCCTTGTGCTTTAGGAGGTTTCCCGTCCCTCATTTTCTCTCTTTTCATATATTTTTTTAAAAATTAAATATTTGTGTAATCCATCTTGGGAATAGGATGGGCTATAAATCTCTAAGAAACTCCATGCCTAGTACAAATTATCTTCAGGAATGTCTAGAAATACATTTAGCCTACTGGAAAGGATTGTAGGCTTGGAGAACACAGGGTGATTACACAGTGCTTGCACTGAAGGAAACAAAACAAAGCAAAATGTGAGCGCTTTGAGACTGTTGCTGTTTTGTGGAAGGAATTCAAACACACCACAGAACTTTAGGTTTTGTACAATTAAAGTTGATTAAAGTCTTTTGTCACCCTAGCACAACGAATCTCCTTTTTGTAATTTACAAAAAATGCTAGTGGTTGGAGGGTCCCGAAGCAGAGGTGGGCAGAGCGATTAATGTAAACTTTGCCGCTGTAATGTAGGCCAGTTTCTGCAGAAACACACAGCCCTCTCTGCCCTCCTTCCAGGCAAGCAGGAAGCATTATCAGAGTTCAAGGACACATTCCAGTCAGGCAAAAACACTCAAGGGAGGTACAAAGTAGGGCCTATGAGGGGCAAGGCCTGGCAAGAGTGTCATGGGAAGACAGACGCCTGGATGGTTGCATTTAGCTCCCAGGCCTGAGGGTCCCTATCACCGAGTTAAACATAGCAGCCCATCAAATAAACCTCCTTAGTATGTTGCCAGTCTGGGACTGCAAAAACAGATGTTGTCAAACAGCCAGCAGGCTGAGTTACATAGCTAGTAGTCTGCAATCGGCTTGGCAGTTCAAAAGTTGTGCAGACCTGCCATAGAGCTCTGACTACATGGCAGCTGTTTATGCTCCTGCTTGAGTACTCTGGGCCTGATTCAAGCATGTAGATTCATCACTCAGTCGCTCAGGCATGTAGATTCATAGCCGAACCATGATCTCACATGCCTCAAACAGTCATTACTAGCACAAATCTCCCACATCATCTTCTGTCGCCGCTTTTTATCGCAAGCTGTTTGAAAATTGTCATCTTCTTGTGAATCACCCACTATGGACACTGGGTTATATATCCAGTGTTAGCCCTACTCCAAATAGGCCCATTGAAATGAATGGACATAACTAACCTGGGTTGATTAATTTCAGTGGGTCTACTCTGAGAAGGACTTAGTTGGAGACAGCCCATTGGAAATATCCTGGAATGGGTAGAGGACCATGGAAGAGTAATACAGTAGTACCTCGGGTTAAGTACTTAATTCGTTCTGGAGGTCTGTTCTTAACCTGAAGCACCACTTTAGCTAATGGGGCCTCCCGCTGCCGCTGCGCTGCCAGAGCACAATTTCTTTTCTCATCCTGAAGCAAAGTTCTTAACCCAAGGTACTATTTCTGGGTTAGCGGAGTCTGTAACCTGAAGCATATGTAACCCGAGGTACCACTGTAGAGCATGATACCAAAAAAAGAAAGAAAAAGAGATAGAGAGAGAGAGTTAAGGGCATGAATGCAGGAATCAATCAAAGAGAAAAGGTGCCCCAAGCGCCCAAAATCTTTTATTACTGCCCAATGCATTTTGGAAAGAAAAACTTCCTTAGGGAATTTTATTAACAACCTGCAAAAATATATTACTGCAGCTTCCCCCTTTTGCCAAATGGAACTGCCCCATAGACTTGGTCTATGAAACCTCTTGTCTTGTATTTGTAGGTAGATAACACATTTACACTTATAGAAGCTTTTAAAACAAAATTGCCCACTCCCAGCCCCCCCTGCAAATGTGCAATGTGTGTCCGCGTGCCAAATTGGGTCTTTGACCCGGGTGAAATGAAGCCGAATTTCACCCCTGCCTTGTGACACTCCCTCCTATGAATCCCATCACATTTGGAGATATTAGGCTGATGCATCCTTCATTTGCACCTTTGAAGGGTTAACACTTATAAAATTCTTTTTCAATCTCTATTCCCCGCCCCCGCTTCTGTTTCCTTTCCTTAAGATTTTTCAAGGGTTAAGGAGTTCACCTTCCATCTGTGGTTTACTTGGTCATAATATTTGTTTAAATAAGTACAGGGCAATGCTGGGGAATCTTTGTAGCAGGCAGAGAGGAAGGGTGAAGTCCAGTGTGCAAGTTTCTATCTGGAAAGCCCAGAAATCTCCATGATCTGGCCCTGCTGCTGCACAGATCTGTCTGAAAGGATTAAGCATGTCGAGGCCTGGAGTGCCTTTTACAATAACGTCGTTGCGCCTACATTTATTTCTCCTTTGTTTGACTATATGTCCAAACAAGCTTGCGAGAGTTCCCCTGTCTGCGACCTTTTTGTACACTTTGGTAATCTCCTTTTCTCCACTGAAACAAAGCTAAAAAGTGATGATTAATCTGTTTGCTGATTTTCGCAATTGGAGGAACAACAACTCAGGAGTAATTCTTTGCTTCACTCTGTTAACAGAGGAATGGGGAATGGCAGAAAGCATGCTGATGATGGTGATAAAAAAGTGTGGGATGTGTCTGAAGCAAACCCCCCAATTACCTCTATTTAATGAAGCATTGTTTTTGGAGACAGACCATTCAAATCACTGCTTTACGTGTTTGAATGGTGCTTTTAAAAATATTCATAGTGTAGAGAAAGCGGATAGGGTAAAATTAATCTCCCCGTGATACTAGAACTCATGTCAGCCCAGTGAAGCAAAATGTTGGACAGACAGAAGAAAGTACCGTATTTTTTGCTCTATAAGACTCACTTTTTCCCTCCTAAAAAGTAAGGGGAAATGTGTGTGCGTCTTATGGAGCGAATGCAGGCTGCACAGCTATCCCAGAAGCCAGAACAGCAAGAGGGATCGCTGCTTTCACTGCGCAGCGATCCCTCTTGCTGTTCTGGCTTCTGGGATTCAGAATATTTTTTTCCTTGTTTTCCTCCTCCAAAAACTAGGTGCGTCTTGTGGTGTGGTGCGTCTTATAGAGCAAAAAATGCTAGGTGCGTGTTGTGGTCTGGTGTGTCTTATAGAGCGAAAAATACTAGGTGCGTGTTGTGGTCTGGTGTGTCTTATAGAGCGAAAAATACGGTACTTTTTCACATAGCACAGAGTTAAACCATGGAATTTGCTCCCGCGGCATATATTGATGGCCAACAACCTGTGTGGCTTTAAAACAGGTAGGAGGAACATTTAGTCCTCCAGTTGTTGCTGAATCACAACATCCATCACCCCTTGCCATTGGACATGCTTCCCGTGGCTGATGTGGGTTCAGCAACATCTGGAGGGCTACAGGCTCCCCACACCTGCTTTAAAAGATGATTGGATGAAGTCAAGGAGGATTAGGCTATCAGTGCCAACTAGCCACAATGGCTATGTTTTACCTTCACTGCTTGAGGCAGTAACCTCTGAATACCAGTTGATGGGAATCACAAGTGGGGAGAGCAGTGTTGCGTTCAGGTCCTGCTTGCAGGTTTCTTGTTGTCATCTGTCTGGCTACTTAGAGAACAGGATGCTGAGTTAGCTGTGCCTTTCACCTGATCTATCCAGGTTATATTCTTATATCTTAAGACATCTACTTCCCCTCCCCACTTGAATACTTCTGCAACATATGGTCAATGGGAGGATGGATTTAACTCTGGAAGCTTTCAGCTGCTTTTTCTGGAGCTGGTTTATACTTTGTCGCAAAGCGTGACTCCCCACTGCATAGGCATTAAACTTTTTATCCTCTGTTCACCAAGAGAGACTGGCACGCTTTTTGCTCCATAGTGATATCTCCCAAAAGAGATGGTGCAGAAAAGGGGAACCAAATTGATCGGAAAAAAGAGCAAATCCCCTTCTGGGAAAGGCTACAACATTTGGGACTTCTTTTAGTTTGGGGAAAAGGCTGGTAAACTTGGGAATAAGTTTTTTTGCCTCCTAACAATGGAACCCAGATTGTAATTGCAGTCAGAGAAGAAATTGGGGAAGTTGCAATGCTCACCTCTTCTTCTGGGTGAACATTGCAAGCACCCAGCGTTCACACCTGGACCCTAAGAGCTTTGCAAGCATCCCTGTGAATCAACCCCAGCTCCCTTAAGAGTGTATCAGCATCTGGCCTATAATCTGCTGCAACTTTCAAGGGTGAATTGAGGAACTGATGAACGCCTAATATTTTGGGCCTGAGCTGTCATACCCACATGAGCATAAGAAGTTAAGAAGAGACTGCTGGTTCAGGCCAAAGGCCCATCCAGTCCCGCATCCTGTTCTCACTGTGGCCTGTGGGAAGGCCACCAACAGGATTTTTGTATCCAATGTTAATGCTACCCAGAGTAGACACACTGAAGCTAATGGACTGTTGATTTCAATTGAGGTGTGTGTGTATATCTCTATCTCTATCTCTATCTCTATCTCTATCTCTATCTCTATCTCTATCGCGGTCCATAGACCCACAAAACAGTTTCTAAACAAGATACAGTTAAGACAACCAAACAACAACAGGCGAAAGAGACTGAGGTAGTCATTTTGTTATGTCTAGAGCATGATGGTCTTTGTTTCTTGCGACCTCTGAAAGAAACTTTGCCATGGTCACTATAATATCATTTGACCTATCCTCCAGAAGGTATTTAATATGGGAGGCTTCAGATTTTCCCGGCAAATTTGCTAGTAAGGGTTTGATCAGTTGATTCCTTTCTTCCTCATACTGCCCACAATGCAGTAGGATATGGTTCATGCAACCGACGTCCTGAGAACATAAACAAAGCCTATTCTGATAGGGGATGCCTCTCAGCCTACTATTTAGAACTTCTGATGGAAATAAATTTAATCTAGTTTTGGTAAATAAACGCTGATAGGTGGGTACGGACAAATTCCTAAGATATGAGGCTAACTGAAAGTCGTGCTTGTATTGGATTCCAGCTGCATTCAGGCAACAGGTTACATTGGATCTGGATCGGTCTACTCTGAGTTGGACTTAGTTGGCTACAATTCAGAGTCTGAAAGGACCCCTTTCAGCATCCCTAATGGCCATCGAACCTTTGCCTAAAAACCTGTAATAAAGGAAAGTCTACTATCTTCCAAGGCAGTCTGTTCCATTGCTGACTAGCTCATACTGCCAGGGAGTTCTTTTTGATGTTTCATCTAAATCCTCCCTGCCCCCTCTTATAATTTGAATCTTTGGTTCAGGTCCTACCTTCTGGATATGTTGAATAATATTGGATGTATGATGTGTACAGCATTGGAAGAATCTCAGCTCAGTAGTTCCGAGTAGACAGGACTTAACTGTTTTGTGGGGTTTTGTTTTTTTAAATAGCTTTCCCTGCTCCTTTTTCTTTTCCCCCTTCCCTCCCAACCTCCTGCCTGGCAGAAACTCTCCAATTGGTTGCTCTGCATTTCCTTTCAAATGGGAAAGAAGAAGAAAAACATCTCTCTTGCATCTGGAACCGTGCCAGATACTCTAAACCCTATTTTGGTTAAATTACAGTACCCAGATTTTTAGCAACAAAACGCATTGATTTTATATTCAAAAAGATTTTTATATTTAGTCTGTTAACCTTTTGTAATTCCCACCCACTGCTTTTAAACTGCAGAATGTGTTTTTTTTTTTTTAATGCTAATTGTTGTCAGTAGGGTATCAGCCACAGCCCCTTAGCAATTTAAACTCATTGAATTGTAATGCAGGTGCTGATAATTGGAGGACTGCTATTGTTTTCCTGGCAATGGGGAATATGTTTCAAACAATTCCTTGCAAATTGGATTTGAGACCATAAAAAAAAAAACATAGTTTAAAGATAACTTTAGCTTCCAATTTAGAAAGTGCAGGGGGGTAGGGACAGGGAGCAGCTGCACAAGCTAGTGTGGTCCTCTGAGGCTTTGTCTCTCTTGTTCAGGCTGAGCACACCAAATGGGGTAGCCAATATGGTACCCTCCAGATGACTCGTCAGGCTGGCTGGGGCTGATGAGAGTCGGAGTCCAATAACATCTGGAGGGCACTGTGTTGGCTGTCTCTTTGTTAAGCCCATTAATGTGTGTGGGAGACAAAAGAAGTCTTTTGAAAGAGGATTGTCCCCACTTTACAGGAGCTATACTTAGGAAGCTTCGTTACACTGAGCAAAATCAGCTAGCTCAGTCACGTCTACACATAATGGCAGTGGCTCTCCTGGATTGCAGGCAAGGGGGTCTCTTCCAGCCTTTACTGGGAGATGCCAAGCATTTAAGCTGGGACCTCTTGCACGCATATCAGATGGTCTAACTGTCAACTGTTGTGCTTCTGTTAGGACTTTGGGTTATCTCCAGCTATGTCCCTCTCGAAGCAGAGCCATTAACATTAATGAACCTAAGTTAGTCATGCCCATTCATTTCAGTGGGTCTACACTTAGTAGAACTAACATTGGGTACCACCCACAGGGGCACAGAAAGCTGCCTTATATTGCACCAGATCTCTCTGATATTGTAGATCCATCTTGCTGAGTATTGTCTGCACCATTCATGTCCAACCAGTCGATCACGATCTACCGGTCGATCGCGGGGCGTCCCTGGTCAATCACATGATCCTGATCAATCACACCCCCCCCCAAGTCTTGCAGTCTCTTGGGAGTTGGACATGCCTAGTCTACAATGAGTGGCAGTGGCTGTCCAAGATTTCAGGAAGGGAATATTCCTAGCCCTCCTAGACCTTCTGCATGCAAAAGCAGATGCTGTCCCACTAAGCTGTAAGAAGAGCCAAATCTCTGTGCTTAACCTCCACACTGACATGCTCGCTTTCTGTGGGCAGGGAGCTTTTTTTTGTGTGTGGCTGAACAGTGAGTAATTTTTCCGACAAGCAGACCTGCAGTCTGAAGTAGTGAAGTCCAGGCAAAGCTTCACCACTCAGTTCTACTGGTTGTATAAACTTGCACTGGCACCTGTAGCAGTTTCCCCCTTCTTTTACTGTTCTTGGTTTTCATATGTTAGATAAGATCCACACAGACCAAACATTATGAGGATGGAATGGTAACTTTGGCCCCCTTCATTTCCTTGCTTTCATCAAATAAAGTTACACCCTTGCTTTGACGTACCATTGAGGTTTCTTTTGTGTGTTAATTGACGTTGGCTTTGTAAGACTCGGTGGAATGTAATTTTATAGGGAGATGTTTGATTGAAATCTCAGCCTTCGTTGTTTTGTGCTTTTTCAGCCAATGCTCAAAAGCCAACTATTTGTTAAATCTTTTGCCTGTGTTTTACATTAAGGGAAAGCTGGGGTTTCCTATTGGAAACATGAAGTGTACTTTCTCTATGGAAAACCTAACAATTTGACTTCGGTTCATTTGTTATATAGCTGTAGCTCAGTGGCAAAACATCTGCCTGGCATGCAGAAAGCCCCAGGTTCATTCCCCAGCATCTCTTGGCAGGACTGGGATTGTCCCTTGCCTGAAATCCCAGAGAGCTGCTGCCAGTCAGTGCAGACAGTACTGAGCTAGGTGGCTCAGTGGTCTGGCTCAGTATAAGGCAGTTTTCTATGACAGAATATTGTACTGCACCCTGACATTCAAAAATGAGAGCTTCCTTCATGGTTTCCAGCTAGCCATAACCTCTTCCAGGCAGGATAACCAATTCTATCTACCACCACCTTCAGTTTATATTTGTATTTTTTCCAACCAACCTGAAACATTTTGTGCTTGTGAAGCATGTTCATGCTGCATGGAGCTGTGAGGGGAGGGGGCTGCCTGCTTCAATTTTTTTTTAGGAAGATTTTTGTATGTCTGCAAACTTCAGGGTTTTCCTGACCATACTGATACTAGTAGTTGCAGCAGCAGCGTTAACAAACTGCCTTTCATTTTAAGATGAGATATATTTTTCTAGTTTCTCTAGAGAGAGCGTTAGGTCCTCCAAGAAACTGGAGGACAAATTTTGACACAGGACTAGAAATTTTGAGTGGACTCATTTCGTTTCCCAACTGGTAGGCACAGGGCCGTTCAAGTTTGGTTTTAGAGGGGGGAAGTAGGGCCTGTAACAAAAGGTTGCAGTTGGCGTGTTCTGGCTCTGGGTTCCAGGGAGCCATGCTGTATTCTAGAATACTCTTTTCCATTCCCTTTCTCCTCTAGTGTTCTGTCCCTCCCGCCTCACATTTCTCAGTGTTTCGGTTGTGGCTCCACCTCTGCCAGCTCTCAGCAGCTTAGCTCACTACAGTGGTACCTTGGTTGTCAAACGTAATCCGTTCTGGAAGTCCGTTCGACTTCCAAAACGTTCGACAACCAAGGTGCAAAGGGCAGTCGGCAAAGTCAATGGAGAAAAAAGGGGGGGGGACGCAACGGAAGCTGTTCAACTTCCGAGGCCCGTTTGAAACCGGAATCAATTACTTCTGGGTTTTCGGAGTTCGGGTTCCGAAACGTTCGGCTTCCAAGACGCTCAAAAACAGAGGTACCACTGTATTAGAAGGAGTGATTATTGTGATGATTTAATACCAAGGATATCATAACTGAAAAGACCTGGCATGAGCTTCACTGACATGCAAAATGCTTCAATGAACCATGAGTTGCACCCATGCTTCTTTTGTAACATGCGCCCCGTGGATGGGTTATGCCTTGCAGGAAATACTATTCTCCTAAGGCAACCTTCCCCAACATGGTGCCACCAAAGGAGGTTGGTGACGGCTGCTCCATAGCTTTTGGTTGTGTGTTAAGTCCATGCTTCTCACTCCTTTCCCCACCTTCCTCATTAGTTAGCTGACATTTATTGGTAATTGAATCAAGCATTAAAGGCTAATGCACTGTGTCTGGTCACCTTTAAATAAGACACAACTGCCGCTCCCAAGGACCAGTCACCCTAACTCACCCCCTCGCACCCTTTTTAAGGAAGAAAGTATTACAACATTCAGACCAGCCCATCAACAGCCAATAATTCTTTATGCTCCATTATTAGAAGGTGTGCCTACCGTTTAACAATAATGACTCTAACGCCCTAAGTTATAGATGTTTATAGCTATTTCTCCTTTCACGCCATCCCTTTTTCCTCTCTTCCTGCTCCTAGTTTTATGCCCTACACAGGTGATTAGCATGTTGTAATTGAGTTGGTCATAAAAAAAAGATAATTAATTGACATTTCACTCCCAGAGAGGTCAAACTGCCCCATCTTCTGCAGTCATTATGAGACTAGTCATTCTGCTCCTGCTTCCTCCACTCCATTCCACCCCCCCCACACAAGGTGATGGAATGACCTTTATCTTGCTGATCAAGACATAATTGTTGTAATAAAAATAGACACAGAGGGTGGATTTCAGGAGTGGCACTCCTGAGATGGGAGTCTCCAATTAAACTGGGTTTTATCGTGAGCTGCGGGCAGCTGTCAGACGGGAGGCAGGAGCTGGGAAGAGAGAGTTACGTGAAGGATGCAGATCTGACACACTGCAGCCAGGGAGGCATTGTTTCTCAGGCAGAGTCCCAGTCTAGCCTTTCATACCCTTCCTGTCTGAGAGGATCCAATGTCTAGCCTGCACAGCTGAGCCTAGTTCAGAACCTGAGAGTACGTCACTGCCCAGGGAAAGGCTCCAATCTATAGCTCTGGTTGCAACCCTGGTGGCTCTTTGCACACAGCACATGTAAACAGATCCAAGAGTGGACAATCACTACAGGGCAGAATTAGGGAGGCTAGAAAGCAGTGGTTTCTGTTCTGACCTGACTTCATCACAATCAGTGCTGTTTCTGTTCTGCTGAAGTTCAGTTTCCATCTATACTATGCTATACTATATAATACTATGCTATTTTTCTTCTTGTCTGCTATTTAACATTATTTACGTAACTTACAAATTCAGTGTAATTAATGATGCAATTCTTTCCACACCGTTCATTTCAATGCCAGGGAAGCACAATTTAAAGGGGGGAGTGGTCATCAACTACATATTATTTGCAGACTAGAAACAACAACAACTGATTTCCATTCCAAACATGAGACAGAATGAGCAAACCCCAGCAATTTCCGCTTCCATTTCTATGTTCATCAGAATTCTCTGACAATCCCGGGCAGCATGAAGTTGAGGGCTTTGGTAGCAACCCAGAGAGCAACTGAACATGTTGCTCAGACTAATAGGGAAGACAGCAGGATCTGAGAGTTTATATTGGACAGTAGCATATGATTGGCCTTTGGGGGCATGTAGCAGATTCTGGGATATTAATGCAAAATGTCCCAGCTTTCGTTCCCAGTGACAGAAGGGATCTGATTCAAAAGGCCACTGGTTTGAGCCTGCATGCCACTTGCCACCTGTGCCAGCATACAGCCATCCTCTTAAGCCAGCTCATGTACTAGTGGTGGACCTTGGGGTCTCAAATTTCAGCAGTGCCCTGTGCAACACTAAAATCCAGCACCCTCACCTCCCATGTTCCAATCAAAATCATAATTGCGCCACCCCCGAGGCTTGGCACCCAGTGCAACCAAACTGGTTGCGCTGCCCTAAATCCACCTCTGCATGTACACAAATCAGTTCCCTGGGTGACATCTTGTTGATGCTGGCAGAACATTACTCTTTGTCCTGTCCATTCTCTCACTTCATTGGCCAAAAGAAAGGTTACTTTTCCTGCACCCAGCATAGTGAAATTTCACATTGTTAAGTTCTGCACAACTTTCCATGGTGTCTCCACCTGATCGTTTTAAAAGTTCGCCTTTCCACTTTTGCAAGGACGTTCTTTTAACACCTCTCTCTTCATTAGCTTTCGCTGTACTAGCAGTATTTATGTTCTGAGCAATGAATGGGAACCATATTGCTTACAGCATAATTTCCAATTTCTTAATGCACTAATAGTTTTCAATAAAGATTTCGCAGCTGCTAACTCCTGATTTGCCTTGTCTAATGGTGGTGCGATATGCTTTTAAAGAAAGTATCAAACTAGTACTGTGCAGTTGGGGGGATGGGTAGGAAATCAAGGTTACCCAGGTGTGGCATGGTGTCAGGGTTCAGACCTGTCCAACCCCAAAGGGAGCTGTTAAGGGCCCCGACCTTCACAGATGCATTATTTAGGCAGTATTGATAACGATATAACAAGCATGGGAAGCTGTGGTCCTTCCAAGTGTTGCTGAACTACAACTTCCAGCAGCTCCAATAAGCACAGCCAATGTCCAAGGATTATGGGAGCTGCAGCTCAGCAACACCTGGAGAGCCACAGTTTCCTCACACCTGTGATAAAGTATCCTATGTCGCTGGAAGTTCAAGCTTCACTCTCTCTTGGAGCTGGGTGACTGTTAGTGGCACTGTGGTGAACCTAGGTCTTGTATATATTTGTTCACTAGAATGGGTTCATGGAATCTATAGAATTGAAACTATTGTGCAGCAACTGAAGCTACCATTCCACATTACAAGTACCCAACTGGCAACCAGTACCACCCAAACATAACATGGCTTCCATGTCAGCCTGAACCCAATTGTGAATGTTTCTGGGTTGCTTGGAAGGACCATGCTAAAGCTCCATTGCTACAGATGGTCACACTCTTTATGCAGAGGCCGGAGTGCATCACCTTGCCCATGAGGAACATATGAGTGTTGACACATACATAGGGCTTCAATCTCTACCTTGCAAGATAGTTGCTAAGAAAACTGGGCGGGGGGGGGGGAGAAGAGAACCAGGCATGGTGCCTTTTGGGGGAAGTGAGAGATGTCAATGTACAGTCATACCCGGGTTAAATATGCTTCAGGTTGAGCACTTTCGGGTTGTGCTCTGTGGCAACCCAGAAGTAACAGAACACGTTACTTCTGGGTTTCGCCGCATGCACAGACAGTCAGAATGACGTCACACGCATGCACGGAAGCGGCAAATTGCGACCCGCGGATGCGGGTTGCGTTTGCTTCAGGATGCGAACAGAGATCCGGAACAGATCCCATTCGTATCCAGAGGTACCACTGTACTGAATTTTATAAATACTGTTGGAGATATTGCTAGAGTAAATCACAGCTGCTGAGAGCTTAGATACAACATGCTAATTTTCCATTCCACTGTTATATTCAAGGTGACTTTTATAAAGGGACCCAAAGCTTGCAGTAGAGAGCCACAAGCATTTCTTGTGTCTTGTTTCATTTACCTTCCCCTGCAACAGACTTAATATTATTTATTTAAGTTTTGATCACTCATTAAACACAACAGGAAAATAGATAGATGCTTCCCTTGACTATACATTGTTCTTTGTTTATATAGAAAATGAAAGTGGCTGTTTCCGAAGAGTTGAGCGCGGCTGTGCCATTTTCAGTAGCATCACCCTTGCACCTCTTCCAGGAGATCCTCGACCTGCTGTGCAGTCAGATGAGCCAAATGAAGTAAGGAAAGCCAGCTACACTTGTGGACACAACAGTTCACATCCACATTTCATTGCCATTTCATTATCTGGCAGTAGTCCAGATTGGAAGCTCCTCCTCCCTAACACCC